TTCCCTCCATCCGATGTCTGGAGGAACTCTCAGCAGAGAAACCCGAGCGAGGGCAGGTCCCTCCTCCCCGACACCTGGCATGGTCACACTGACTTGGGGACACCTGACCCCACACACAGCACAGCTCCAGGAGCTTTGAGTGCACTTCTGAGAGTACCCCATTTGTCAATGCCCTGCCCTGAGCCCTGTGCCCTGGCACAGCAGTCTGGAGGGGCCGTGGATGGCAGGATGGACCAGCAGGAGAAGGGCAGCAGAGCAGAGAGCATTGTGCTCAGGAGCAAAGTGCTCAAGTATGGCTGGAGCTACTCCAAATCCTGCTCCCAAGTATGGACACGATGGGCCTCAGCCTGCTCCAGCAAGCCCAATTTGAAGTGGAAAAGCAGGAAGCCTCCCAAAGTCTCAACACATGAAGCTTCACCATGGCATTTCCAGAGTCACTTTTCAGGAACATCCTCCTCCTGGGCTGTGCTGCCTGCAATGTGCTCAATGGTTCCAAAGGAGATACTACACTTTTACTAAGTACATAGCAAATCCTTCTGGTTTCTGAACCATTTTAGAGCCTGACGTTACACATGGCAGGAGCATTTCTTAACAGAAGTGATTTGTCTGTACTTTTTCTAAAAGTAATTACAAAATGAAGGCTTGAAAATTAAATTTCTATATTTAAATGAGAAATAATAATTCAAGGAGATTATTTAGTTGAGGTGAGAAAAAGCAAGTCAGACGCTATCAGCAAGTGCTTCTGAATTAATGAAACTGAGACACACCTGAAGTTTGTACCAAGGCAGTGCCACAGCTGCCTCATCACAGCCAAGCAAATGACACAAAGCTCAAAGCCAAGAATTATCAATTGCAAGGATAAGTGGAAAAAGAGGAAGAAAAACAGCTGGATTCACTTGGGGATAGAAGATGACAAGAGGTGAAACAAATAATTTAGTGAGCAGTCTTGAAATGGATTTACAGAGCAAATAAATCTGCATGATCAAACTCAGTGCCTTGTCACACTTCCCAACTTCTAGATCCTCATGTATCTGTTCTCTCAATAAAAGCTCTTACCAAGCCACAGTAACCAGTGACTGGGGAAAGATCATCTCGGGAATATTTTCAGCTCGTGTCAGTATATTTTTTATTAAAATACATAAATATTTATTTTTCCAAGATGAATTACGGACACAGATCTCCAAAACTTTGTAAATCTATTTTTAATCCATGTTTTACAGCAGCTTTTTTAAACCCCCTACCCTTCTTAAGATCTAACTAGCACTTAAGTATCAAAGACAGATTTGCATTTCAAAAGCCAATTAAAAAACATAGTGTACCAAGGCACTGATTAAAGCCTTGTGGCTTTACATAAATTAGGCAGTTCCTTTGACTTTCCCTATTCCAAATCCATCATAACAATGGGAAAATCCTACACATTACATGGACTGTATGACCACCTTCTCCCTTCACTACCCTTAGAAACTGGTGATGATAAATGCAACCCTCATTTGCTTGAACAAACTAATCTGTGGAGGCTCAAACTGAATGGGAAAGAGATACTCATATCCCCAAACTGCTGCTCATTAAAGAAAACTAACATTTATTGTTGTTTGCAGTTCCTAAACATCGAGGATTTACTACTATAAGCCTGGTAGAACAGCAAACACTTTCCTACCAAGGTGTAGCACCACACAATTTCAAGTTACAGACTATTTCAAGTATTCTTCACAGTGGAATATTTTATCATATCCTCTGACTTTTTTAAATCAAAAAGCAGCAAAGATCAATTTCTTTACAAGGCTCAGTGTGGACCTCTTGATCCTCACCCCTCCAAAAGCCCAAAGAGCAAAGTCTTCTCATGGATCATCACACACAGAAAAGGTCCTTTAGAGGCACGTTGCCAGGTGCACAGTGAAGCTGCCATGACCCGCTCCCCTGCCACGGCACGCTCAGAGCAGGGTCAAACACACAAACTGATGAAACCCCAGCCTGTCTCCAACACAATTCCTTCAATCCCACACCCAGCACTCCAGGCCCAGGCACTCAGCATATTTTGGATTGAATTTTTCCTACAGTGGCTCACTAATCAAACCCCTGTCATCCTACGGCAACAAAAGAGCTTCAGATTCCAAAACCCAAAATATTTAGATGCCTCAAATTAGAATATACAGAAAGTCCTTTAAATAACTTGAGAAACTTATCCAAATTTGGCCACCTTCCTGCAGGCAGATTGCTCAGCATCACCCACCAGCTGTGCAGTTCCAAGACTGAAAATTCCAGCCCTGTATCCACATGATGAACACGACATGTTGTTACTGGATTTCCTTGCCCTGGCCTCCGTGACACACCAGAACTTGTAATTTTTAAGAGTTATTTCATGAGTAAGAAGCTGCTAAAACATGCAACCTACACTTCATAATGTTCCCTTTTAGAGATCAGGTGCATGGCAGCACCACACCACACACAGCAGAGGAACCACTGCTCAATTAAGAGGGGAATTGGCTCCCTCCCACTGGAATTTTGAGGCCGAGGGGAGCCCTCACTATGCCAACAATGCCCACGCTCACCGCAGCCCGAAAGCTGCCAATTAAAACAAAGAGTGGGAAGGAATATTAAAAACCACTGTTAAAACTAAGGGATTCAAATGAGGACAAGAAAAGCAACAGGCTAAACCAGGATTTAAATATTCCACCTCTTATTCCAAAGCCTTCAGCATATAAAGTGCCCTTCCCCCTACAAGAGGATTAAACTCAGCATGGTCTTGCCCAGCTCTTGGCACTTGTCTGGGGTGGTAAATAGGTTTTCACACACCCACATCTGCCAAAGCCTCTGCAGCAGTGCAGCCAGAAGATGATCTGGGGCACGTTTCCAAGGCACAGGATAGCAAAAGGCAATGCACAACATGTGTCACCAGCATTTCCTCTAGTTCTGGGCAATAAAAGTACCATTTTTATTGCATGGAATTGATCTATAATCTTAATACACAGCTGTCAGGCCAATGTGTGCCAAAGGGGCAACTGGTTGTGTGGGGAAGGTCCTTATTGCCTTGAGCTGGACTGTATTTGTTCTGTTTTCTACCTAAGAGTTTTTGGAAAAAATCCTCACCAGAACTGCATTGTTGTTTGTTGTGGGTTTTTTTAAAGTAGGCTCTTGTGTTCCTTTCTTTTTTTTTTCCCAGTACTTGGGTTCTTTTTCAAGTAGCAAAAGGCTCTTAAAGATTCCATCATTTTAGAAAATATCAATTGAAACAGCACCTTCTACCTAGATAGGAGAAAATGGAAGTGGAAATTCAGCAGACATTTTGGTTTACCTTCATTTTTAACCCCATTAACCTCACCTAATGATCATATAGAGCAGGCTGATAGCAGAGGCAGGAGGCTGAAGGCTCTCATGTGGAAAGCAGCAGAATTAATCCCGACAGCAGCGAGGCAAGGAGGTGGTAATTGCTGAAGAGAAGTGTGGGAGAACTGCCTTTATTGTCCTCATTGCCAAGAAGCTCGGAAATCTATTCCTCATTAAGAGATTCTCAAAGTCACTCTTTTAAGGTATAAAACCCCAATTTTTCTATTTCTGACATCGCTGATGTTTCACAACAATGTTACAAGCTAACTTAATGGGAACAACATGTGAATACAAACGATGGAAGCAGCAGCTCTGGGAGATGCAGGAGCACCAGTCAGGAAGAATTCATTACCCCGAGACATTTATTAAGCAAAGGAAAAAAAAACTGTTTGAAAAAGGCTGGCAAACATCATTAGAGAAACAAAGGAAAATTGCTTCACAAGCTTTTTTTCTAGTTACAGTGCCTTAGTTTACCTTGTTTTTTCATTTGGGTGGTTTTTGAAGTCTCACCCTTACTCAGTAATTACAAGTCTCTTCCTGCTTTACTGTTTACAAGACACAAACTGACAATACCAAGCCCTGAGAAATAAGCAAGTGACAGAACAGACCACTTTTCCCAGACATAATCCTTATTTTTACCTGCAAACTTCACTCTCTCACTGCTTCCTACCCCCAAAATAAAGCTATCACCTATCAAGTCTAAAGGGTACTCAAAACACCGAAGCGAGGTTATGACTTGGGCATTTAATGGAAAATTGTATGTGTTTGGTTGGTTGTTACTTCTCAGACTTCCTTGTTCACACCTGATACTCAAGAAACAGAAAAATACAACTCCCCACCCATCTCCCAGTCCCGCAGGGATTGTACACACTGCTATTAGGAGCTTCCCAAAAGTTTCAGACAGAGCAGGTAATTCTTCACATACAAGCTCAGAAAGTTATTTTAAGGTTATTTATACATAAAGAAAGCAAAATCCTGTTTTCTTCTCCTTTCTAAGCTGTGGTAAATCTCCATTGTGATTTCAGACACCTGACACTTCTCATAATCCATTCATTGCAGCTTTCCTGATCTCCAGCATTTCCTGAGAAATACCCCACATTAAGCTGCTTACAGGAACAGAACACATGCTAACTCCCAGCCAGTAAAATGGGAGCCACAGTCGTGGTTTCCCTGAGGTGATGGAACCAGCTCATGCTCCTTGGGAAGCATCTTCCCATTTTTCCAAGGGCAAAGCATTCCTTTCTGTGAGAAGTGATCCTCACTTCCACAAATTTAAAAGGTTTATTAAAACCTTACCAAACATACAACAGATGACTGAATAGGGAACATATTACAGCACCAGGAGCAGAGGATCTTTCCCACCATGAGCTCATCCTTTTAACCCTTCAGCCCTCCCGAAGTTCTGTCCATTGACTCCTTCTTTGCTGCCCAGTGGTGGAGATCACTTCTGACACCTTGATTGGAGGTCAGCTGCTGCCACAGCAATGAGTGACCCTCCCAAATGTCCCAAACCCAGCCACCCCTGATAACAACACAATGGGGGGTGAAACTCAACTATAAATGTATAAACCTTCTCTTAACATATATATGATATTTGCCTTTTCATTGTGAGAGTCCACCATCACATTACCCATCTATCACCGTGTTCTCAGCCACACCCCAAACCAGAGCCTTACCTGCCACGGTGAGCTTCGCTGTCCTGCTCACGATGGTCCCCAGGCTGTCCACAGTCGCCACGCACTGATAATATCCTTCATCAGGTTTATTGTGCTTGGAATGCACCACACTGTTAATTAATAAAGATCCATCTGGCAGCAGCTGGCGGCGGTCGTCCGACACCAAGTTGAGGAAAGAGCCGTCCTTTTTCCACTCGATTCGGGGAGGGGTCTCGCACTGAGCCGAGCAGTTCATGATCACCGACGCTCCACGCACCGACAGCACGTCCAGGGGCTCCACCAGGAAGTAGAAAGGAGTGAAGGTTCTCACAAGCGATTCTGCAGAACATCACAGAAATTTTGGGTTCGTTTTCCACAGTTTTTAATGTGCGACAAGCACAAGCACTGCTCACATCCTCCCCCTGAACACATTCAACCAGCTTGGTCTGTGTGACAGTGTTTTCTGCTTTGATTATTCATATCATGGACCCTCAGATTCCCAGACATTTTCATCCCTAAAATGTATTTCCCTGCTCTGCTCTCAGCCTCTGTGGTGTGGATGCCCTCCCAGCAGCTCTGTCCTTTGCTCTGTGGAACCAAGATTGGGAACCATCAACAACAATTCAGCCCTCAGGACAAAGTCTCCCATTCTGAGCTTAACACATCTTGCAAGTGTCATACAGTGTTTTGTTTTTTTATTTACTTCAGTTCTAGTCCAGGATAAACATGATTATTTTTCCATTTTAAGTATTCCCCAAAGAGTTCTGTAATTAACATCTAGTTTGCATTAAGAAGTGAATTTTAATTACTGTCTTTCTGGTGTATTTGGTCAAGCAAAACGATTCTGTGTCAATATCACTTTGACTTGTCTTAATTTAATCATCTGTAGAAAACAGAAGACAAATTCTTCCAGAGGAGAACAGTTTTCGAATCAGCATAATACTGGGTTCAGAGAAAAGAGTATCTCAGTTTTTAAAGCCCACCTTAGAAATAACACTCGCATTATAATAACGTACTCCTGCACTCATCTCAAAACTATTTCATCTCAAAACTATTTCATCTCTCACCATTGACCATTTCATCTCATGGTCAATAAAAAAAATGATCAAATATTTTAAGAACACCTAACAGACAAATATGCATTTAATATAACAAGATTTGTTTAATTAAGCCACAGAATAATTCTGGGGGTGAAGGAAAAAGCACAAACTCTGAAGGCGACCTTTACTTGCAAACAAAGGCTGTGTTGGACGCATTGCAGCTTCTCCCATTGCTTGGTTGTTTGTGGGGTTTTTAAAATCGGATTTACCTTCTAAAATGACCTTAATTAACAAATTGATGTGATTTCCTCTATCACCGAACTACACAGAGAGTCCCTGGTCTCCCAAGAGCCTCTGGCTTCCCCCCAGAGGGACTCCAGCCTTCCTGAACAGAGCCCATTGTCTCTGCTACTCACAATTCACAGCAACTTGGAGATAAGGCAGGAGTGGCGTGAAAGAAACAACAGATAAATTAGCTTTGGCAGCTGATAGCATTCAAACGCTCTCTTACCTTCAAGAATCCAAAGGGGAAATAGAGGAAAACATTCTAGAGAGACTGAAGTTTCCCCAGTGACAGTGTCAGGCTGAAGACCTGTTACGTTGGGATCCAAATCCTTGGATTGTCTTTCTTGAGGATAGAGACAACCCAAAAAAAACCCAAACCAAATATACAGAACAAAAAAATCAATAAAATTTAAAAAAATCTAGGAGCTGCTTTTGTTACTCTGGTTTGTAGAAGGACACCAATGTGTGAATGTTCTCGAGTCTCTGTGCCTCTGAAATCCTGAGTGTCAGCTCTCACGCAGCAAAAGGCAGAGCAGAAACAAGAGCCATGAACAGCAGGAAAATCTTTTACCTTTGTACCCCAATAATCTCTTCCATTGCAGCAGAAACCTAAAGTCCTTATTAAAATTAAAGACTGAGTTGCAGTCCCTGGGCTTTCCAAAGGAAACATTTCCCCCACCCCCACCTCAATTCCAGGCTTCTCCAAGTTTCTCCAGTATAAATCCAGAACCCTAAGAGAACAAAATACACTGGTTTGAGTTTTGCTTCACTTTGGCTTTTCAAATAAAAGCTAGAAAACCTTTAAAAGGGGAATAGCAACTTTTTGTTTGTCCCGCCAGTCTCCAGCTCTGATTGCAGCAGATCTAATCAATCGATAAAGTGAAATTGCTCTTGCCCTGGAAGCAACAAGGTGTCCAAGGCAATAGAGAAGAGGATGTCAAGAGAGGTCACAGCAAGACCTAAGAGCAGCTCCACAGGGATTATAAACCTTGAGGAAGAACAGAAAGCAGATTCTCAGCCAGGTTTCAGAGGTACCAAACTCCTGCCAAGAGCCCTGGGAAGATATAGCACAAGCTGCTTTGTCCTGGGATATCACTGCGCTCCTGCACTGAACGCAGTGGGGACAAAATGTGAAGGGTGGGTGAATAACCCCATCCCAGCTTGAAGGACGTTAAATCAGAACAGAGACCATTTTTCCAGAGGATTGGCAGTTGGGGTTTGGGGCACTCTGGAGAGCCACACTGCAGCCAGCTCAACTTGTGCTGCCTTCAAGTCTCAATTCAGCACAAAAAGGGTTTGTACTCCCTTGAACTTAATAAACTTCTATTTCTACCAACAAGCCATTTCTCCCACTCCTTCAACCTACTGATAGCTCAGCTCGATGACAGCATCTTATTTTGGGTAGAATGGGTGTGCATTTGGTGCAGGGAGTCCTGCCCCTTTCCACACACTTACAAACACAGGCCTGTACACACCACTGCTTCCATTTGTGCTAACGCTGGCCAGCCAAGGAGTTATGCTAAGGCGTAAGCCTGAGTCCCTGCTCGGGAACAGGAACAGATCAATCTCACTCATTCCCACCAGGCTGGAGTTTATTTCTCCCAAATCTGCTCTGGAGATGAGTGGCAGGGAGGCAGATGTGCCAAAATACAACAGAATGCCCTGGCACAGACAAGATCTGAATGAGCTGCACACACGGAGTAAATTCTCATGTCCTGGAAGGTCCACAACTCCCTGACTCAGCCCTGTCAGCACACAGGCAGCTGGGCTTAGCACT